AGCCCCTACATTCTACACTAGCAATAAATCAGAAAAGGCAGGATATAAATCAGGAAACTTAAGCAAAGTGGTTCAAAGCCCTTATGATCTGTGCAAAAGTCAGACTTGTATGCCATTCTCGTATTACTAATGGATTTTACAGTATCTTTCAATATAGTTACTGGCTCTCAATATGTAGGAAGAGTTGTTTTACATATTCAAACAACTGAATTTATTACTGATGAAACAATTAACTTCTTTATTTATACAATTACAGGAAATATTCAGGAATAGGAATCATCATATATATGATGCATATCAAAATTAATTAAGATTCGATTTGAACAGGAGAGACTTCTTAATAAGGAAAAGTGATAGCTCATCAACCAATCTGGACAAGCAGGACACAAGGAAAAGTGACTGCTGAACCTTGCCAAGCCAGGGTAGGACAGTCTTTTAAATTTTCCTGCTTCTGAAAATGGTCTGTCAGATATTCTAGGCCTATAGTCAAAGTTGGATACCCTAACATTGTAGAGGAACATTGGGTGACTATTCAGGCAGCCAGCTGTTTCTGTCACTTTTTGCATTTTTCAGGAGTTACTTGCTTGCACTTCCTGCTTACTCAGGTAATATTATTTTCCTTCTCAGGTCTTAGATGGGGTTGAAGATTAGATAGTTATAGTTACAACCCTCTCATATCTTAGCTAAGGGCATATTAAATACAAGAGTTAGACTCTTCAGGACAGGACAGCTATTGGAGTAATCTCTGTAATTTGCCAATTACCTATGATTTAGGTATTTAGAATGTGTTTCTAGTTTGATGTTGCTCTTATAGGTTGTAGTTCCCTTTTTGTTTCCCTTTGTTGGCCTTCAATGGTATCAAGAGCTATAGACATCAACAGACTGGCTGAGGTAGGGCCATGGACCCAGACATGGCCCTCAGCAGCAGCCTTGGTCCTGATGACACCATAGCCCTAGGTGACAGTGTTAGTCACTTCATGGCCTTGGCGATGGCAGCACAGCCCTTGAACATCAACACAGTCACAGGTTGTGGCCTAAACCCTGGGCATCCACGTGGCCTTAGCCGTGGGCCACTGGATATCAATATAGACTCCAGCTGTGATAGGATCATGGGCCCAGACATGGTCTTAGGCAGCAGCCCAGACCTGGATGTCATCATGGCCCTGGGTGTCAGTGTGGGCCACTCAGATTGGCATGCCCGTTGGCAGCAGCATGTCCCTCAGACAACAACATGGTCCCAGGTGGTGGTCCAGACTACAGGCCTCTGCATGGCCCTCAGTGGCAATGGGAACCACAGGCATCAACTAAGGCCCCTTAGCTGCTTCACAGCCTCAGACCAAGCTGGCCCTTGGCAATAGCTGAGGCTTGGACATCACCTTGGACTCAGGTGGCAAGAAGGCCATTCACATTAGCCTGTTCCTCACCACACTCACCACTTCAGATCTGCCTCTCTCTCCAGCCCATGAACCACTGTTCTTTCTCTTCCAGCTCCCCACCCTTTGCTCACTCAACATAACAGTGTCTGAGGGTCCTGCACGAGAGGCACTGGGCAGGCAGTAGAGCCCTGCCCCCACCAGCTGCATGGCCTGGCGCCTGTTTATGTTTTGTTAATGTGGTCACTTAGTGCTCTGAACCTCTTAGCACTGCCTTCATGTGTCCCACAAGTTTTGGAATGTTGTGTGTTCATTCTCAACCATTCCTTAAAGGTTTTCAATTTCTTCCCTGACCCATTTTTCAGTCCGGAGTGAGTTACTCAGTTTCCATGAGTTTGTAGACTTTCTGTTGTTTCTGTTGCTATTGATATCCAGTTTAATCCACAGTATCAGATAGGATGGAGGGTGTTATTTCAATTTTCTTGTATCTGTTGAGGCTTGTTTTGTGTCCAAGTGTGTGGTTAGTTTTGGAGAAAGTTCCATGAGGTGCAAAGAAGAAGGTGTATTCTTTTGGGTTATGGTGAACTGTTCTGTAAATATCTGTTAGGTCCATTTGGTTTATAATCTCTGTTAGGTCCAGCACTTCTCTGTTTAGTTTTTAGTTTTTATCTGATGACCTGTCCACTGGTGAGAGTAGGGTATTGAAGTCTCCCACTATCAGTGTGTGAGAGTCAATATGAGATTTAACCTGCAGTAGTGTTTCTTTTACAAGCTTGTGCTCTTGTGTTTGGTACATAGATGTTAAGAATTGCAATATCTTCTTCATGGATTTTTTTCTTTGAGCGTGTAGTGTCCTTCTCCATCTCTACTGATTAGTTTTGGTTTGAAGTCTATTTTGACAGATATTAAAATGTCTACACCAGCTTGCTTCTTAGGTCCTTTTGCTTGGAATATGTTTTTCTAACCTTTTACCCTGAGGTAACATCCATTCTTGATGTTAAGGTGTGTTTCTTGGATGCAGCAGAAGGATGCATCCTGTTTTTGAATCTATTCTGTTAGTGTTTTTTTTTTTAATTGGGAAATTCAGACCACTCATGTCGAGAGTTATAAATGAACAGTGTTTGTTGATTTCTGTTATTTTGTTGTGGTGTAGGATTTTGTTTCTTTGTTGTTATTGTTGTTTTACTGATCTGTTATTATTTATTCCTTATGTTTTCTTATGTGAAGTTAGCCTCTTCAGCTGCGGCTTTCCTTCTAGTACCTTCTGCAGGGCTGGGTTTGTAGATAGATATTGCTTAAGTTTGATTTTATCATGAAATGCCCTTCTTTCTCCATCTGTTGTGACTGAAAGTTTTTCTGGGTTTAGCAGACTGAGTCGGCATCTGTGGTCTGTAGAGTTTGTAGAACATGTGTCCAGGCCCTGCTGACTTTCAGAGTCTCCATTGAGAAGGCAGGTGTAATTCTAATAGGTCTGCCTTTATACGTTATTTGATCCTTTTTCCTTTCGACTTTTAATATTCTTTCTGTGTTCTATACACTTAGTGTTTTGATTACCCTGAGCCATGAGCAATTTCTTTTCTTGTCCAGTCTCTTTGGTGTTCTGTATGTTTCTTGTACCTTGATAGGCATCTCCTTTTTTAGGTTAGGGAAATTTTCCTATATGATTTTGTTAAATATATTTTCTTTGCCTTTGTTTCTTCTCTTCCTTTATTCCTACTATTTGTAGATTTGGTGTTTTCCCAGTGTCCCAGATTTCCTTGATGTTTTGTTCCTGGGTTCTTTTGGATTTCACATTTTCTTTGAGTGAGGTATCCATTTTTTCTGTCTTGTCTTCAGTGCCCGAGATTCTCTCTTCCATCTCTTATATTGATGAGGCTTCCCTCTGAGATTCCTGCTCAAGTTCCTAGTTTTAATCTCCATTTTCCCCTGTTCTTTTAATTGATTCTATTTCCACTGGCAGGTCTTGAACTGTTCTCTTCATTTTGTCCTGCTCTTTGTCTTTTTAGATTTGTTAGTAGATTTATTCATTTCCTCTCTAAGGACCTCTAACATGTTCGCAAAGGTTATTTTGAAGTCCTTGTCTTGTGCTTCAGCTGGGTTGCATTTCTCATGTCCTAATTTAATAGGGTTGCTGTGCTCTAGTGGAGACATATTGTGCTGCCTGTTATTGTGTTTTTATGCTGATGTCTAGGCATCTGGGTTTTGGATGGTTGTAATTCTAGGTGCTAATATCTGGTCATGTCTTTGCTGGGTGAATGTTCTGTCCCTTGATTTCTGCTGCTCTTTCTGTGTTTTAGGAGAGTTTGGTGGCTGTGGGTCACCTGGTAGGGAATGCTCCTAAGATCCTGCCAGGTGTGGCCACTGGGGGTTCCAGGTAGAATGTGTTTCTTGATATTGGAAACTGACACTTAGGAATGGAGGTGGGCTAGAAGGGAGGGCTGAGGGGGTCCATGGCAGCGGGGAAAGCAGGGCATTCCACCAGGATCTGCTTAGTCTCCTGGGAATGGGGGGCAAAGAGGGAAGAGAGGCCACAGCAGGTAGTGTGCTACAGAGCTGGGGGTGAGACTGAGGGATTGGATTTGGAGGGGAGGAGGGAGAGTGAAGGTCTGAGGCTCACTTACCCGCTTCCCTGGCCAGAGGGTTCCCAGGGAATGCCTTGGGAGTTGGTGACTGAAAGAAAGGGATGAGGTGGCAAGCGATATAAAAATTCTTAACAAATTTTCAGCAAATAGAATTGAGATACATAAAAAGCCAACCTCAAAAGGTCACATATTATATGATTGCATTTCCATAACGACAAAATTATAGAGGCACAGAGAAAATTAGCGGTTGCCAGGGGCAAGGGATGTGGTAATGATGGTGGTGGGGAAGAGGAGTGTGAACTTCTTGGGGGTGAAATCACTCACATCTGGACTAACTTTCTCACTGATCTATGCTTGTGATAAATGCTATAAAGTTATTCACACCGTGTGCCTGGATGTTTTCTAGATTCCAAACTGTCTTACAGGCTTGGGAGAGGTGGCCATTAGCAGAAAACGGGGAAAGGACACAGGAAGTCCAGATGGTCCTTGCAGTTTTCTGTGCATCTGTTTATGAACAATTCTTTTAAGAAAATCACGGGTGGTTGCTAAGAGCTGCAGCCACTCCCTCCTGCTTCTAAAACAGAATCCTGCACCATGACGGCAACGAGCCATCCCTCGGCCCTCAGCTTTCCAACTCAGTCATTTCCCTGTCTCTCCTTCCCCTGCTTTACCACTGCTGGGTGAGCTGCATCTGGAAAGGATAGCACGAAGGAGATTGCCTTGGTGTGCCTAGGGTAGATTTAGTCTCTCCTGCAAAGATGCTCATGGTTTCAAGCCAGAATCCCTGTGGCTGGTTTGGAGTCCACAGCTCTGAGCTTGGGATGTGACGAAAAGCTAGTATTGCTGGCTGGAAAGCAGTCATAGGAGCCGAGGGTGGCAGGGCTGGAGAGTGGAGTGGCTGAAGCAGACAGGAGCTGAGGACCAGCAGTTGTAGTCAGAACCCAATGACTTCCAGGATCCATTGCTCTTGGAATTCTGAATGGCTCTAGGAACAGACCACTGAAGGTAATGGGTCCCTCTAAGGCATTCTCCCTTTGCCTAACAGCTACCCTGTGAAATATTTAGAGGAATTCAGCATTCTGCAGCCCAGCGAGGAGCCCGCCACAGGCAACCCCCACAATGGAGTCTTCCGTCTCATCTGCAGGAAGTCACCAAGGCAGAGCTCACATCTGTGCCTTTGTGAGATGTCGGATCAGGGTACATGAAGACTTCCTTTGGCCTCAGCCCCAGCGCTTGCTCTGACTGTGCCTGAGAGCTGTGTCCTCACACATGTGCAGTGAGTTCAGAAAGGCTGACCTTGGGAACTTATATTCCACTAAAAGCGATTTGCTCCCAGCGTCATGGTTGACCAGGATGCCCAGCCATTCTCTTACAGGTGTATTTCTGTGAAAATTGCTTCTCAGAAGTCAAGCTAATTTACAGCAGGGTATGTCTTTGATATCCTAATTCAGTCTAGACATCTTTTTTCCTACTTCTCCTCAAAGCCTGTCTCTTTATGGGAGCCCAGCTGTCAATCATTCTCAGCCCTCAGAAAGGACTCAGCATTCTCATGGGGGAGGCATCCAGATGCTCTGCCTTCTTGTCTGCTAGACTGGAGCCATGGAAGCCCAATACTGCCCCTAGTACCCAACTGCTTGGTTGCGTCTCTGTCCAGCAGGTTGACTCTCGTCAACAATCTCATCACAAGCCAGACACAGTTCAGTGGCCAGTGTCAGGGCCCTTCATCTACTCACCTCAATAAAAACTTAAGGCTCAACTTGCTGGCTCCAGTCTCTCACTAAACCCAGGAAATGAGAGATCATGCTCATGCCTGTGCCAGGAGCCCCGCACTGAAGAGAGAGCCTGCAGCATGGTGGATTCGGAAGCCACCAAGCTTCCTAATCCAGGCTGAGGCAGTTGTACCTGAAGCCTCTGTAATAAAACTCTAAGTCCTAAGGATAAGATTTTTTAAAAAGTGGTGCAGGAGCTCACCAAGAAATATCCAGAATATTTCTTGGAAGGACCAAAGTTTCTCATCACCATTTCTTTGGTAGTATTTTCAGTCTATGTGCACATGATGGTCTTAAATGCCTGGGCAAAATTCTAGACAGATTCACAGCATTTGTTTTCTTTTAAAGGTTTGTTTATTTTCCTGCATATGTGTCTGTGTACCACATGTGTGCAGTGCCCAAAGAAGTCAGAAGAGAGCGTTGGATGCCCTGGAGTTGGAGGTACAGGTGGTTGAGTCAACATGTGGGTGCTGGGAGCTGAACCCAGGTCCTCCCAAGAACAACCAGCACTTTGAGCCATCTCTCTAGCCCCAAATTCACAGTATTTGTTCATGGTCCACATGCTTCAGAGTCTGTGGGTTCTGTCCACACATGCACGGTTCTAGAGAGTCTCAGTGAGGTTCGTGATGTAGGAGAATGGGATGAGTAGATGCCATGGTCAAATGTAAGTTCCTTTATGTTAAGGCAAGTGTAGCCATTTTCAGACTGGCAGATGCCTCTGTAGGTAAAGCAATTGCCCTGCAAGCGATCAGAGGACCTGAGTTCAAATCTCTTGAACCCATGTAAGGCCAGACACAGTAGGGTGTGCCTGTAATTTCAGGGTCCTTATTGTGAGATGAGGGTGGAGACAGGAGACTTCAGAAACTTGAGGGTCAGCTAGCTTAGAGAAGCACACAGCAAGGAGACCCGGGTTCAAACCAGGTGGAAAATGAGCAACTGAAGGTGCCCTCTGACCTTCATGTGAGTACTGTGGCACACATGCACCCCTCCCCTGCATGTACATGCCTTTTCGAGCACACATGAACATACACACACACACACACACACACACACACACACACACATACACACACACACACACACACACACACACACACACACACACCATGGATGGACCCAGAGGGTCAACAGCTGAGGTTGTCTTTTGGCCTGCAGACACAAAGGCACATTGAACCTGCACACACACATGGACCTATATACATGAACATGTACATACACAAGGGGGCTGGAGAGATGACTCAAGTGTTAAGAACACTAGCTTCTCTTCCAGGGGACCATAGTTTTCACCTCAGCACCCACGTTGGTCCCCTCATACACGGACACACATCTTCCACCTCCGAAGTTCACAATACTCATTTCTGGGAAAGGCTCAGCACAAGGTTGAGCCAAGAACTGTCCATTCTGATTCCAAGATCAGAGAGTTGTACTCATTAATACCTAGCATTTAATTAGAGTCATGGGAATCACTTATCCATAGGTTTATAGCTTGTACTTATTTCTAATAAATGTCACTACATAACTGAATTCCCTAGTCAGCTTTCTGAAAAAGAATGCCCAGGAATTTGTATCTCAAAACACTTATTCTCTCTTTTGTACTTTTAGACTCAACAGAAACCAGACAGAGATGGAGGAAAGGTACTTAAACACAAAGCCTGAAGCTGGGTGGGCAGAAACAACCTTGAGTAAAACAGCTCTGGGCAGTCGCTTAGAGCTCCAGCTGCTCACACTTAATCTCAGGGAGGCAAGGATGGGGGATGGTCTTCGGAACAGCCCAGAAGTCAGCAGGGTGAGCCATGAGGGAGGGAGGCAGCTGCAAGAGAAGCTGGGTAGCTGGAAGAGAAGCTGGGCAGCTGGAAGAGAAGCTGGGTAGCTGGAAGAGAAGCTGGGCAGCTGGAAGAGAAGCTGGGAAGCTTCTGTGTTTTCTTGTTGACTTCTGAGCAGCAGTGGGAGGAGGGGGAGCCAACACCTGCACTAGCCACGCTGGTCTGAGCAGAAATTCCAAGTTGACATTCAGCCGCACATCCAGGAAGTCATGACTTGATTTAAAGCCTGCCAATACGCATCAGGTTCGGTGTGACAGCTGTGTCTCAATCTGAGTAGAATTATTTCTTTTGGAAGAGATAAATTTATTATTAAGAAATTAAGACTTTGAATGGATAATTCACTATTAAAAACAGAACCGAACGTGTGAATGAAAACCCTCCTGACAATCTGTTTCTGATCCTGAAGGGCATCTGTGTTCAGTTTTATTTCTGTAGGTGTAAAATTTCTGCAGCAAGCAAGCAAAAATAAAGCATTTTCTTAACTGCCCTCGTGTTTTCTTTAAAAGCGCGCGCGCGCGCGTGTGTGTGTGTGTGTGTGTGTGTGTGTGTGTGTGGTGTGTATGCTGAATTCGTGTGCATGGACCCATGGATGTGAACGTGCATGCTGCTGCACTCACCTGTGTGTGCACGTAGACACCAGAGGTCAATGCTGAGTTCCTTCTTCAATTGCTTCCCAGTTAGTTTTGCTTTTGTTTTTAGACTAATTTTATTTTTACTTATGTTTGTGTATGTGCGCATCAGTCTGTGAGTGTGTGTCACACGTGTCCTAGGGCCCATGGACACCAAAAGAGGGTGTCAGATCCCCTGGAGCTGGAGTTACAGGCAGGTAGACAGGAACCAAGCTCAGGTCTTGTGCAAGGGCAGCCTGTGCCCTTAACTGCTGAGCATCTCTCGGCCTTCTTTATTCATTTCTTTAGAGACAGTGTCTCTCTCTGAACCAGGAGCTTGCTGTTTTCAGTAGATTGCTGGCCAGCAAGTCCCGAGATCTGCCTGCCTCCACCTTCAAGTTGTGGGGGTACAAGGATAATGATTGGCCTGGGTGCTGGGGGTCCAAAGCCAGATCCTCAAGGGTTGTCCACTGAGCCGTCTCCCCAGTCCCAACCTAACTGTAATGACACTCTGCTTTTTACTTTTGTTCTAACCTCCCCTTCCTGAACGTGCCTTCAAAATCTCAAGTGTCTCAAGTGACTGTTTTCTTCCTCTAGCTGTAGCCTTTTGTTGTGTGAACGGGCTGGAATTTAACCTGTCCCTTGCAGATGCTACTTCTTCCAGTCTTTCTGATATGATTAATTACCTTCCTCCCCATCATTCCAGAGCACACACATCCTTAGGTGAACACTCACTCCTAAGTGGACCTGTGTTTACAGCATGTGATTGGGGTAGACATTGCCACATGGCTTCATTCTTAACTGTGCCCTGATAGTAAGTTTCCATTCTTGCCAGTTCTCCGTAGATCAGGATAAATGCAAAAACACAGTTGTCACCTCCGGAATAAGAGATAGTTTATTCTGGAACCAAACATGAGCAACTGTGGCTCAGGAGCACACACTCATGGGACTCTAAATGCCATGTTCCTATGTGGTAAGTTTCACCAAGTTTTTATAGTAACAGAGCAAAGAAAGTCATAAATCAAGGGGCATTAAAAGCAAACTGGTAGGGCCAGCGGGGTGGCTCAGAGGCGGCTTGCTGTCAAGCCTGAGAATCTAAGTTTGTGTTTGATCACTGGGATTCACGGTGGAAGGGGGGAACTGATTCCTCACTATTGTCTCCTGATACCTGTGCATATGTGCACACGTGCACACACACACACACACATATACACACATGAACACACATAAATGTATTGGAAAAAAACACTGGTAGGAATATCGAGTAGGTGGACTAAATCAAGGCAAGGAACTCTCTGCCATGAGGCTCAGCTGCTACCCGACACTCTTAGCCTTCGAGATGGGCGAAGCTGGGTTTGTTCATTCCCAAGGGTTTTTCCCTCACCGTCACAAACGTGCTAGGCTGCTCCGAAGCGGGTAATAAGTGGGTATCAAGAGAGCTAAAGACAGTCTGAGGTAAGTTGTCTCCCAACTGGTCACACTCCAGCTTTCCACCATCACTAAGTTTAAACAAGTCAGCTTGTGGAATGTGTACCACAGGTGTGGCTTTTCCCCACTGGGAACTTCACAGCAGAAGGTTTCTGTGAGGCACGTGCACACACACATGTGCGCACACACACATGTGCGCACACACACGCAGGCATACACACACACACACACACACACACACACACACACACACACACACACCCTTCAGACACCACGGGAATAGGGTCAGAACACAGGAGAGGCTATAGACTTGGCAAGGGACTTTCACAAACAGTCAGGAGTGATCCAGAAGGCAGCAGTAGAATTTACAGAGAGGTGCAGCAGAGACGCCCCTGCTGAGAAGGGCTGCCCGTGACTTAGATTAAGTTGTCCAGGACATGAGAATTCGATTTTCTTTGATTACAGATTTAGTTCAGCTCCTCTCATCCCTGAACATGGGGACTCTGGTGGGGTCTCCAGATGTGGTCCTGCCTCTGTTATGGGATTCTAATCCTTATATTTCAAGCAGAACCATGTTCCTCTACAAAAAAATAATCCAGCTATTGCTATTGCTGTTGCTATTGTGGCTACAGCAATGGACTCCTTGTTTCTGAAGAGACTGGTCAAGAGGAAGACAGGACAACCAGTTGGCTCACACAGGCTCCCTTCACACATGGGTGCTGGAGTTCCTCATTTCACCTCAGAAAGCTTTTTGAGTGATAGAGCTTGCAGGAATGCTCTGGGTGCTGGCACAATTGTCTGCTGCTTCTTTGGGTTCAGCTAATTGGACTCAGTCCTACTGAGAACATTGGAGACATGTTTGCCTCACCGAGGCAAGAGACCTGGGATCCCTTGCCAGTAACAAATGGACCCATGATGCAGCCAGAATCAATTGCCAGAAAACTTCTGAAACTCGAAGCTACCCCCGTCTTTCCGTCTCTGTCTCTGTCTCTGTTTCTCTTTCTCTCCACAGACATTGCTCGAAGGTTTCAGGCCATCTGATGGAGACAGGGAAGTATTGACAATGTCAGGCTGGAATGTCATCTGCTGTCCTCCTAGGCATGACACTGTGCCCTGGAAGCAGAATGCAGCCATAATGCCTAAGCAGCCACAGAGATAGAGTACCAGAAGAGACTCGAGCTGGTTTAGCAAGATTCTACAAATAAGATGCTTGGCACAATTGATTTACTCCCTCTTATTACTCCTGGGAAGATACTCATCAGAGTGGAAATTGGTTCTATCTGAGGCACAAGTTTCTCAAGCAATATCCTAAGATACAGTAGCTCTTACAGATCCAACTAAGCTCCATCAACGTCACCTGCAGGGTTAAAGTCCTAGACTCCAGGACATAACTAAGAAGAGGCTGTAAGGCTGCCGAGAAGGACACCACAGCCTGGGGACACGGGCTTGCACTGCAGGAGCCTTGAGATGTTGGAGGGAGAGAGTTTGGAGCGGAACAGGAACTTAGTCGAGGGGACCCAGGTGGAAGAAAATGGATGCTTGGTTTGGATGTATTTGGGTGTGTCCGTAAAAGGTTCATTGAGGCTCAGTACCAGTGTGGTGATGCTGAGAGGGCCTCTGAAGTCCAGTGGGAGGTTTACAGTTATGGGGAGCCCTGCCTTGGCAACTACCCAGGTACTCCTCATGAGACAGTGACAGTATCTGAGAAGAAGAAATCTCAGTTGAAGACTTGGACCTATCAGATTGGCCTGTGGCCATGTCTGTGGGACATTTTCTTGATGGCTGATTGATGTGGGAGGGTCGGACCTACTGTGTGTGGTGTCAACCCCAGGCATGTGGTCCTGCTCTGCATAAAGAAGGAAGCAAGTCAGAGGAGCAGCCAGTGAAGACACACTGGTCCTCCCTGGCCTCTTCTTCAGTTCCTGCTGCCAGATTCCTGCCCTGGCTTCCCTGGGTGGTACAGTGGAAAGTGAAAGCTGAGATAGACCCCTCCTCCCTTGCGCTGGTTTTAGTCAGTGTTTTACCACATCAACAAAGAAGCACACTAGGACAGGGATCTTGCATTTGTTCTTATAAAGAGTTGTTGTGAAGACGAGCAAGAACAGGCCTCCCCTCTCTGGCTTCCTACCTCCCTCTTCCTTTTGGGAGATTGTCCCTCATGGGCCTCACCACACCAGACCCTTGAGTGTCTAGAATGGTGAGCTGAATCAACCTCTTTTCTGGATAAAGCACCCAGCCTCGGCCTTTCAGTTATAGTAACGGAAAACTGACTAATACAGTAGGTGTGTCTGACTCACAGAGTGGCTAAGAAAAGCAGTCTATACAATTATAATTCCTTTTCTCATAAACAGCACATTTGCCAATAGCTCTAGACTGACTATGAAAATCACTATAATGTATATCATGTACCCCACAAGCCATGGAGAGGCTACGGTTGACTCAAACTTCGTTAGTTAACCACTTTCCAGAAAATGCTGGATTCTTCATGGGCACCCGTTGGAACCACACTGAACAACTTAATTTAGGGAGGACCAAGTGGCTCCAGGGTTTAAAGAAGCAACAGAAGCCTGCGGCTGATGGGGAGAGCGTGGCAGTCTGCAACGGGAGCATTTCTTCTCCGTACCAAGCCCCACCTAGCTGAACTGAGACAAGGCCGCACAAATGCTTATTCATGGAAGCGAGACTAATGAGGGCCCTGGATTTGGGTCTGGTTGGCAGAGCAGACTGCTCTAGCCACAGGTACTCCACGACCTTGGCGTCAATATTACATGAGCTCATTCCCGCCAGCATTGCGGAGTTGAGTGTGGGTATTTGCCTGCATTAACTATTCTTCCTCATGGCTCAGTGACTTACTCTTCTCAGTTTTGAATTTCAATAAGCAGCAGGAAGGCGTCAGCTTGGAGATTCACTTGCCTTTTTCTAGAAGAAAGGCACCCCTTATCCCACCCCTACCCCCACCCCCAAACCCCGGTGTTCTCACACCCGTTTCTTCCTTCAGGCAGTCTGATGTTCTCCATCCCCAGCATTCTCTCCCCTGTTCCCCCCTCAGGCAGTCTGATGTTCTTAGGATGTGACTGTATCTGAGTTCCTAGGATTGCTAGCTGAAGCCTGTCATGTTCATCTTTAAAATAATAGGCATGGTTTCCCCATCTTTACTAGTACCTAGGCTGTGTGACATCGTTAATTACTGGAAGCCATCTTCACCAAGTGCCTGTGTGTTGACAAATACTTCAGACTTCTCCATGTCTTTGTAGTCTAACTGAAGACAGGCAAGGATGAACATCACAGTTGTCAAGTTCAGGGGAGGAGGGAGCACAAAACTCTTCTGTGTGAGCATGCTCTCAGGCCTGGAGTAGCTGCTATGGGCGGGTTCACAGTCAGAGATGAGAAAGCTGTGCTTAGCATCATTCTCCT